GTGAGCTTACCATCCTCCAGCTCAACATGGGGCGCCGGCATATAGTGGCAGACGAACTCCGGGCTCTTTATCCGCGCTACGATGTTATGGCGGTTCAAGAACCAACCTGCCGTGGGAACTTAGTAACGGGGTTTGGCCTCACATCGAGAGTTATAGCTTTGGGCAGTAGAGAGAGGAGGCCCAGGGCTGCTATTGTGATTAATAATCCTAACATCGATGTGATGGATCTGAGGCAGTATACCACGGCGGATTGTGTCGCATGTCATATCAAGTGGCGTAATATTTCCTTTACGCTAGTTTCATCATACATGCCTGATGGAAATGACATAGAAAGGGACATAACCGCCGTGGAGATGAACACGGCTTGCACTCGGAACGTGATCATCTGCTCAGATACCATCTCTTGGAACACGGTCTGGGGATCCAATCGAACCAATAGAAGAGGCGTCCAGCTCGGTGAATTTATAGCAAGGAGCCAGCTACTAGTCATAAACGATTCCTCCGCTATCCCAACGTTCTCCAGTGCAAGAGGCCACAGCTGGATCGATGTGACTTTGGCATCACCGGTGCTGGCAAACCGCATCATCGATTGGACCCTTCGATCTGAGACGAGTTCCGACCATCAGGCGATATCTTTTAGGCTGGTGGAAAGTTCATTTAGTTCCCATGGCACAGACAAGGGTTACATAACCCGAAGAAAAGATTGGAGCACCTTCCGGTCGACTCTGGAGGGAAAATTGGTTGATGAGGAATGGGATGAAGCTGACATGGATCAGACTCATGATCTGGATTACAGGGTATACAGGATCACAACTGTCATCCGTGATGCTGCTGAAGAATCCCTCCAGCATCGGAAGGCGAGAGCTCGACCTGTCCCATGGTGGACGCCGGCCTTAACTGTGATGAAGAGAGAGCTCTATAAGGCCAGGCGGTCGTACCAGAGGTGTATTTGTGACGAGAGGCGCATTACACTTCGTGACGAGTACAAGTCTAAAGCCAGGGCATATCGAAATGAGGTGCGCTTACAAAAGCGGAAGTCTTGGGACGAGTTCATTGTTGAGGAGTCATCAAAGAATCCTTGGGGTATTCCTTACATAGTGGCTCTGGGTAAGCTGACACCACAACAAGTGATTGCTGCGCTCAAGTGCGGAGCTACTCATGCAACCACTCTGGAAGAGACATCGAAGATGTTTATAGCAGAAATCTACCCCAGAGATGATCCGTCCCAAGATAATGAAGAAGAGGAATTCATAAGGCGCACTACGGTATGTCCACCTTGACTTGTGCCCACCATGGGACATATGGGATCTCCGTGCTGCTGTGGACAGGCAAAGGACTGGTCGTGCTCCCGGTTTAGACGCAATCGATGCGGCTATGGTAAAGAATAGTATCCCCTATATCGAAGATACATTGTTGGAGTTATTCAATGATTGCCTCGATAGGGGATACTTTCCACGAAATTGGAAAATTGCCGATATAAGGCTCTTTTACAAGGGAGGAGACAAGGACAAGCAATTAGCCAAGTCTTATAGGCCTATATGTCTCCTCCCTGTTATGAGCAAAGTGTTCGAGAACCTACTCCTGGTGAGCCTACGACCAGTCTTCTCAAGAGCGAGCCATCCACGGCAGTACGGATCCACTAAGGGTAGGGGAACCGTGGATGCCCTGCTGAGAGTGCGCAATGACGTCGAAGAGAAGGCGGAGAAGTATGCTATGCTTCTCCTGTTTGATATCACCTCCGCCTTCGATAGTGTTTGGTGGCCTTGCGTACTCCAACAGTTGCAGAAGTATGAAGCTCCCAGCAACTTGTACGAGCTATTACGGAGCTATCTTCAGGACCGAACTTTAAGAATACTGGGTAACGTCTTTGAAGTTGAAGACTCCATGGAAAGAGGTTATCCCCAGGGCTCTGTTCTAGGTCCTGCCCTATGGAATTTAGTATTCAATGAGTTGTTGGGAGTACTGGAAGAGGAGCGGTTCCCCTCTACGGCTTATGTAGATGATCTGGCCGTTGTGGTAGCCTCGAACAGCAGAGCCCGACTGAAAGAAGAAGCTGAAAGGTGCGCCAACCTAGTAGAAGAGTGGTGCGAGAAGAAGAAATTCAGAATGGCCTCCGCCAAGACTCAGGCCATCCTCTTGAAAGGCACGACTGATAGGGCTCACCCTATAACAATGGTTATACAAGCATCAAGAATACGTCCAAGTGAGGTTGTCACCTATCTTGGGATTAGGATTGGAAGAAAGTTCAACGTGACACCTCACTTGGACTACTTGAGAAGTAGGGTAGCCCTAACCCTTAACGGACTCAGTCGTATTGTGGGAGCATTTTGGGGCCTCAGGTACCCAGCAACTATGACCATTTATAAAGGTGTTATTGTGAGTATCCTGAGGTATGCGTCCCCTGCCTGGAGCCAAAATCTCTCGCACAGACAGAAATGTAGGTTGGCCACGATTCATCGGATGGCTCTGCTTCGAGTCTCCAGATCATTCAGGACGGTGTCTCATGAGGCTGTGCAGGTACCTTTTGTATTTAATGTGGTTATAAAACTAAATCTGTATCAAAATTTAATTAATAGTGTTTGAAACTGATGAGTATAAACCTACGTGTCAGAACGATGCTGGATTAAACGACTAATTTGTTCTTGATAGATCTCATAGAACGCCAGTAAAGCCGATGGATACTATAAATACAATATCGGACTTATCTTTCTTTTTTATCTACTGGTCGAACAATCTTTCAGAACTGGGTCGGAGTTGCAATTAAAGTTCATAGTTAGGAACACATACGTTTTGTTCAAATACTGGGGCGTATTCTTTAATAATATCTTCAATCGAATTCATAGCATTAACTAAGTTTGACTGATTGTGAGTTAAAATTTGCATTTCTTCATCAATGTTTTTTTATTCTACATTAAGATTTTCAATTCATACTTTACCTAATAAAGCAAGATAAGATAGGTAACAACTGTCGGTTGGATTACGAAAGAAAAACTATATTTGTTTCTTGAACTGAAATATACAAATTCAATATATGAAAATCATTTTCAGAGATCAAAGAGAAACGAGCGCCTGAATTTTCACCGATACGCTGAGGCATACCATTCAATTTTACTTTGACAAAATATTTACTGAGATCTGGAACTACGTGAAATAAATCAATAGTTTCCGGTGATTTTTTTTAAAAAGATTAGATGTAATTTTATTAATACCATAACAAAGGCTTTAATTTGTATTTGAAACATCAGCGATATGCTTAGTCGTACTAGAATGAGATGTATTATTTTGTTTATTGTAATTAATGACGTCATTAATGACGTCATGACGTCATTAATCGCTAGTTCCTGTTGTACAAAGCGGGGTACATTTGCACTACATGTATTGAATATGAATATAATAAAATAAATAATCTCCAGAAAAAAAGATTCGAGCCATGAAGGAAATGTCACGTCCCTCCAACATTGATGAATTAAGACGTTTTATACAACTTTTCACTTATTATTCACACTTTATACCAGATTATTCTACACTCACATACCCTTTACGTCGTATATTTAAAAAAACAACAACATTTTTTTGGTCTGCTTTGTGCGAATCAACCTTTCTTAAATTGCAAGCTAAACTTTGCAGTGATCGTAGACTCACACCATGATCCTTCCTTACCACTGCCACTAACGACAGATGCTACTGGCATCGCAGCAGTTCTCAGTCATGAAATAGTTGGCCGGGAAAAGCCAGTCGCATATGCATCAAGAGCTCTCACAGTAGCAGGGTGTAATTATAGCCAATTAGATTGCGAGGCCTTAGCCATTTTTTTTGGACATAATTATCTTTACAAGTACGTTTTTTTGTAGAAATTTCACCCTTATTACTGACAATGAGCCCTTAACTAGGATATTTCATCACAACAAAGCAGTTCTAAAAATTACATCTCTAGACTTCGTCGGTATGCGCCATTCTTATCTGATTTTGTCTACACTCAAATTGATTGATTCGCGAAGGGCGAGCTAATCAAAAATGCTGTTTGTTTATCACGTGCACCCATACTTCATTCAAATTTTTCGACAAATCTTTTGATCAATGAAGAAGTATATCCATAGACAATATTTCAAATATCCACTGAACAAATTACTAATGAAACTTTATAACTATATATCGAATGAAACTTTAAAAAATCCATATCTTCGGTTAATACTACAACGTCTCAGATTCCAGTCTACTGATGAACCATTTACTATTTCAAGTGGAATTTTATTTCGCCAGGATCGCATTATTATCCTTAAGAAACTACAAACATGAAGCAACTTGCTAGACTATAGGTATTTCTATTGGACAAAAATAGATAACGAGGCATTGAAAGATTGGTCAAAAACTGTGCTCATGCAAGAAATAGTCCACCAAAAGCAGCAGCGCACCCATGGGAAGAACCAGAATCAAATTGGGAACGCTTGCATATTGATTATGTCGGTCCTTTCGATAATCACCATTTTTTTATATGTATTAAAGCTATAGACACGGAACCTATCCCCTTACTTATCAAGATTCGTTAGATTCTTTTTCGATATCGGCAAAGACCCCTCGCAAGTGGACGGTCACCAGCGGAAAATTATCTAAATAGAAGACTTCGAATAAAACTAGAGGCATTGAGATCTAATGCTAATGCCTACAGTCCATCGTCTCATGAATTCAACATCACGAAATTCAAAGTGGGAAAAAGTCGAACGAGGTGCAGTATATTTATTTAATCTTTATTTGTTTAGAGGGAAGAACTACATACAAACTGGGTCTTAACTTTGAATAACAAACATTATTACTTATATGGTAATATACATTTTTTTTTTTTTTTTATACCACCTTACAAATATTACAACAATCTTACAACTAGAATAATTTAAAAATCATATTTGGTAAAAAGTCAGACAGTTAAAATAACGCCAATTATTAACAATTATATAAAATCTAAAACTCCCAACTGAACGATCCTTGCCGACTTACTTTCCCTCCTTTTTCATTCAACTACAAGTAATTACTGATATAATTTTACTTAAAACAAGTTAATCGTTTTCGAACGGTGGTTCATTTGAAAATCAGAGTATCTTGCCTTTGGGAAATTGTGGTCAAAATGATCTCAGAATATTTTTCTGCTTATGAAGATCTTAATGTGAGTGTTGAATTTTGAAATAATAATACATTTAGAACTATTTGTTAATGAATTTTGCGCCTAGCATTTTATTTACCTGTTTAGAGCAACGTGGTGTTTTATATGTTTGATATTAATTTTCATCACTAGCCCATCATAAAGTAGTTATTAATTTTAATTTAAAATTGAGGCTGATATTGTCTATTCTAATAAATCACTGGTTTGTTCAATGAGGTTATTTGCTTTAGATTTTTTTTTTTTTTTTTTAATGACATCAAAATCAGCCATTTGGTTATCTGTTGATAAAAAATAAGTTGGTTGCTCTTTGCTAGTGTGCGAAAGATTTGTATCATTTATAATTTTTATAACCATACACTTGTTAACTGTGAAGGTAGTTTTTAAAACGAAAAATCATAGAGAAACTATGTAAGGGACTCATTGTCTGATACAAGACTATTTAATCTTAATGTACTGACATTGGTAGGGAAACTAGTCTGGCATTTGGGTCTCATGGCTCTTTGGCAACCCCTTATGGGTATCTTGAGGTTGCCGCCGCATACTTACCAGAATGGAAGTGTCAAGATTCATTTCCCAGACCTGTCAAGAAATGAAAATAAATCAAACCCACAACATTCAAGACGCATGTCCCAACAAGCTCGTCCATCATTTCTTCAATTTTAATATAAATAATATTGAACACGAGAGATCTCAATTTTAAATTTAGACAAGTTAGCTAGGCAGTGTCAAAAGTTTAAAAGCCTTTGAGTTCTGATTAGGAATACTCTTTAATCATAAATCTGTGCCGTAGACTGATAAATGTATGGGTCAGTTTATTCACTAGTCATAAAAAATATAAGACAAACATGAAACGCATTCTGTAATATTTTTACATAATATGTATTATATAAATATATTTCAAGCTATTTAATTTAAGTTACTGTTTTATATATGTATTTATTATGTTCATGTTTCAAGCACTAAAAGTAAGGAAAATGACCTCAATTTGTAATTGAAATTGTTTTGTAGTATTCTGTAAAATTATGTACATATATAAAATATAATGTTTTAAGCAATGTAATTATAGTATGAGTATATTGTGGGTTTATTTGAAAAAGTCATTAAGTAGCTTCTCACAAAATTAAATTACTAAATACTATGATACCGTTTCTCTCTGTAAAATCAAAACATTGTGAACTTAGTATAATTATTTTTTATTTAAACTCCTCAAAAATGAATAGGGATATTTCTATTTGATTTGTTTTATTTAAAATACTGCTTTTCTTTTTCTTTTGGCATTAAGATTTTATAAAAAACCTTAATTAATAATGAAATAAAAAATTTAAGGAAAGTAAAATGTCCCTATTCATTTTTGAGCTGTATATAAAATGATGTGTGTCATTTTGATGCACTTACTATGTTTTTGCTTGGATATAAATGAACTTAATAACACTGGGCAACAAAAAACAAATTTTTGAATGTTTCCAGCCCTTTATGAGTCAATTCTTCCTAATTCTGAGTTGAGAAAAACAAATATGATAATGAAGAATTTTTCTTAGCTCTAGTTTCTGTGATATATACTAGGTGGAAGTATTTCATATTAACGGGCTAAGAGAAAAAGCTATGTTTTAATTATATATGCTAACAACATTGAAAGTGCATTTGGTTTTTCAAAATGGTAGTTACATTCTAAGAGTTCTAAATTGCTGGAAGAATACCACGCAGATGTTTGTGTCTGAAGAGAGATTATGTGGTGGCGTCATGAGATTGTCTTTTAGCTTGCCTTTTGTAAGGGAGTTCCGGAGCATCCCAACACAACATAAAGACCAACAGTAATCCGCAAGCATTGCTTCATTCCAATGGCCCTGATATCTTTGTTCTATAACAGAAATGCCCTGATGGAATCTTTCTCCATGCTCATCACTAACAGCTCCACAACTAGGAGTGAAAAAGTCTTTGTAGGAGTAGAGAAAATGGATTTTAAGGGACATGTTGCATCCAAGATTATGGTATTTTTGCTGGAGCACTGTCACAAAATGCGTGTAGTTGTCATCTCTTTTGCTGACTGAAAATCGTTGAACAACTCCCTTCACAAGGATCCTTCACAAGTACTCGAATTTGTGGCCCGACAAAAATGCCTTCCTTAATTTTTGCATCACTTAATTTTGGAAATTTCTCTCTTATGTACTTATGGGCCTGTCCTTCTTGGTTAATACCTTTGGCAACATTTTTTATCAAATCCAGCTTGATATGCAGAGGTGGAAGTAGAATATCTTTTGGATCCACGAGAGGTTTGGCAACATTTTTCTCGCTAGGATTATGATTTCTTGCAGGCCAGTCTCCTTTAATGTAATGCAATTTCCTATCTCTACTGTCCCACATACATAAGGAGCAGCAATGTTTTGTGTACCCCAGATGCATTCCTAACAGCATGGCAATGACTTTTAGATCACTACAGGTTTTCCATTTGTGTTCACGATATTTGAGTGAGTCTAAGAGGGCTGTCATATTTGCATGTCTCCTTCATGTGAATTGCATGACCAACAGGAATAGAAGAAAGAAGATTGCCATTGTGAAGTAACACAGCTTTCAAACTAAGCTTTGAGGAATCTATGAATAGACTCCAGTTGGATCATGGTTCAAATTCAAAGATTTTATCAAGCCATTAATGTCGCAGCAAACAACAAGATTAATTTTTCTCCTCAAAAAAGGGAAGCAGTTCCCTGTGACATTTTCTGTTCTGTGAGATTCTAACATCACTTTCGAGAAGATTCCATTGCTGTAGTCGAGACCCAAGAATTTCTGCCTTCTCCTTTGACAGGCCATGGCCTCTAATGAGATCACTCGATTCCGCTTGACTCAATCTGTGCGGTTTATCATCTTTTCCTTCAAAATCAGGGTCACGGGATGTGGAAGGCTTGTTTGGTTCTTCTTCTTGGTCCACACTGTCTTTATTTTCTACTTCAGACACTATTTTCGGGTGGAGTGGCAACTGGTAAACTATCTGAATGCAGAATGGGTCGATTAGCAAGTCGAAGATTCGGGAACTGACTGACACAATTTTCAGGTGGAGTAGCAACTGGTAAACTATCTGAATGCACAGTGGATCGAATAACAGATCGAAGATTTGAGTACTGACTGACACAATTTTTGGGTGGAATAGCAACTGGTAAACTATCTGAATGGAGAATGGGTCGAACAGCAGATCGAAGATTCGCGTACTGACTGTCCTTCTTTTCTTCCTAGACAATTCTGTCTTTATAGGTGGAGTCAAGCAGAAATAGCAGTCATCTGTATGGTTTGTAGGCTCCCACCAAACCGTAGGCACATCGAATGTCATAGATCGTTTCTTCTTTCACATCCATTCTCGCAGAAAGATGTGTTGCAACATATATGTGGAGCCCAAGATTTATCCTGGTCCCCTACTTTCATACCGAAATAATGCTGATAGTCAGTCTTTACAAGAGGCATCAGATTGCGTTTCTGTGTGGAAAATGTTATTTAACCACAAATATAACAAAAATTATTCACCATATTTACACATTTTCATGCCACTTTTACAAATTTTACACTAAAAAAGCATTCTCAATCCAGAAATTCTGCATTAATTACTGCAGAACCTATATGAAATCTGTCACAGTCACAGCAACAGCAACAATGTTTATGACTTAGAAACAGCTGAGGAACATTTGTGTTTTGTTATTTGACAGGTGTACCAACTCCCCTAAGTTGAAAATGTTGACTCCAAAAAATGAAATGTCACTTTATCTCCAAAGCAAGAGCTAATATGTCATTTTTATGGTGATTTTTTAATTCAGCAGATGGAAATACATATGAATTGACTATTTCTGAGCCTGAAACATTTTCATTGTTGCCCAGTATAATTTGACCACATCGAAAAGAAACAGTGATTTTTTGCAATAAACTGGCGCTATGTTTATCATCTTATAATAATGTAGAGTAAAAATAACTGATGTTACTCTCATACTAGTTATTTTATAACTATGTATAAAAATATGTGAAATATCTTTCAAACTGATGTTCAATATACAATTTAAAAATATATACTTCTTATAAACGATTTCTCTGAATAACTGTGCTCTATTAAGTATATTTAAGAGGTTTGAAAATGTTGCGAAGTTAAGTACTTAGGAGATAGGAAAAAAATTAGTATTTTAAAGAGAGGAAATTGTGATGGCCAAGCATGTTAGAGCATTATCCGTTTTAACATTTTTGAGTCTAGCTAAGCCAGTTTGAACTTTGCTTGAACGGATTGAAATATATTTTGGGATGGACCCTCCTTACCACTCTGATTAAAATAGATTTGGTTGTACCTCTAGATACCTCCCCTCCCCTTTCCCCAAATACCACAAATGCTGAAGTGGGGGAGGGTCATTAGAAAAAAAAGGTATTTTTGTGGATAAGAGAGGTACAGCCAAAGCTTTTCCCAAATACCACAAATGCTGAAGTGGGGGATGGTTATTAGAAAAAAAAGGTATTTTTGTGGAGAAGAGATGTACAGCCAAAGCTTTTCCCAAATACCACATATGCTGAAGTGGGGAATGGTTATTAGAAAAAAAAGGTATTTTTGTGGAGAAGGGAGGTACAGCCAATCTTATCTATGTCACTGCTCATTTTTAATGTATGAAATAATCTTTTGATATTTTTTATGCTCAATGAATTTTAGTGTAAATTGTCTAGAAATATTTTTCATAATTATTTAATTATAGATATAATTAAAAGGACTGAAGAAAATTGAAAGTATTTTTGGCTTAACTTTACAAAAATAATAAATATAATTATTTCTTGAATTGAATCTCGATCTTACAGGAGTGAAATCTAAATTCAATAAAAAGATGTCCTATATAATTTTTTTTATTCTCTTGTTACCGGTTTCGTTCTTTAACCAGACCTTCATCAAGCTGAATGAAATATAAAAATTAACAACTATAAAAAGAATAGAAAATAATACATTAAATAAAAAACTAATTATAGCCTAATTTATGGTTCATCAGGATATATAAAATATATACATTTACATCAATAAAAACCAAAATTTACAAAAGAATCTATAAAAATAATAGGAACTTAACAATTAAATAGGTTAAATAAAAAAAACTAATTATCACTTTCCTCTCCCACTTGTCAGATAGGAACCAAAAATAAAAATAAACCTAATCTCTAGATGAGCTACACCCACCCCTTATGTCTTGTTTTCGTTAGCCGCTACTAATTTGATGATGGTGGAATCCTCAGACATAACACATTATTTATTTTCATTGTTTTTTCTTGATCTCTAATTTTTCAAGAAAATCTATTCTTTTTCCTTTAGATATAGTATGTAAGAGGTACTTTTGAAATAATGTGTTATGTCTGAATATCCAACAACTTAATTTGAGGATTCCGCCTTCATTAAATTAGTAGTTGCCAACGAAAACATGACAAGAGATTGGAGGTAGACCATCTGGACGATTGTTTAATTCTTATGTTAGTCCTCACCTAACATACAAGAGAGGAAAACCATCATAAATCATGTGATAATTAGTTTTTTGTTATTTTGTATTTATGTAATGTATTTAATTGTTAAGTTTCTATCCTTTTTGTTGATTCTTTTGTAAATTTTAGTTTTTGTTGCTGTTGTTAATTTCTATATTTTATTTATCCTTATGATGGTATGATCATGGGTCGGATCATGAATTAGTAATCGCGAAACTTCGACAAAAACTTAATATAAAAAAGAGAAAAGAAAACCTTTTCGATTTTAAGAATTTTAATTTGGACAAATTAAAAAATCCATCAATTAGAACCCAATTCGAGCTAGATGTTAAGAATAGATTTGAAGCTTTAGAGCTTCCTGACGAGGACCACGAGGATATTGACAAGTTATGGGTAGAGATCAGGGATAATATTAAAGCGGTCGGTAACTCGTGTCTAGGAAAAAAGGAAAATAAGAATAACAAACCGTGGTTTGATGAAGATTGCTTAAACATGTGCGAAAAACGAAAAGCCGCTAAATTAAAAGCTCTAAATAATCCTAGCGAAGACAATCTGGAATACTTCCGAACCTCAAAGAACGAAACGACAAAATTGCTCAAAAATAAAAAAAGGGAGTATCTTAAAAATAAAATAATTGAAATAGAAACTAATAGAATCGAAAATAACGTAAGAGACATGTACAAAGGTATAAACAGATCACGTAAATGTGTAGGGTCCGTAACATCTGGAATTGAGGGATTATAATAACAATATTCTGACCGATCCGGTTGACATATTGAATAAATTTAAGGACCCCTTTGACAATATTTTAAATACGGGAAATTATGATCTGTGTCCTCCTTCTGAGTACCAGAGTGCTGAACCGTTGATAGAAGGACAGAGTAAAGAGGAAGTTGAATTAGCTATCGGAAAATTAAAATCTTATAAAGCAGCGGGAACCGACAATATTCCCACTGAACTAATTAAGGCATGCGGGGAAGCTGGAGTTTCTAAAATACATTGGTTGGTTAAAAAGATCTGGGTGAACGAGAAATTACCTGAAGAATGGAAAGAATCTATTCTTATTCCGATTCACAAAAAGGGTCCGAGGACGGATTGTAATAACTATCGAGGAATTTCACTCCTTCCGGTATGTTATAAAATATTTACTTTAATCTTAACCAGTCGAATCACGGAATACGCCGAGGAAATTATCGGAGACTACCAATGCGGATTAGACGGAATCGTTCGACTATTGATCAAATATTTTCTTTACGGCAAATATTAGAGAAAAAATTGGAGTACAACGGTATTGTTCACCAGCTGTATATAGATTTTAAAAAGGCTTACGATTCTATTGACCGCCAGAAACTGTATGATATTCTAATCGAGCAGGGGATTCCTAAAAAATTAGTAAATCTAGTCAGGATGTGCTTGACGGAGACACTCTAAAGTTAGAATCGGTAATAATCTGTCCGAAAAATTTGAGGTTCGTTCGGGTTTAAAACAGGGTGATTCCCTTTCGCCTGTCCTGTTCAATTTGGCATTAGAACATGCCATTAGGGAGGTAATGCGTACCAAGAAAGGGTTGGATCTGGGTGGGACAACATCCGTGCTGGGCTATGCTGATGATCTGGTACTGTTAAGCGAAGACCTTGAAACTATAAAACTAAATACGACAACGTTAATGAAAGCCGGTAAAGAACTAGGACTCGAAATAAACGTGGATAAAACAAAATATATGGTTAGCTGCAAAAATGGCGATACTACTGGTGATATCGATATAGATGGTAATATGTTTGAACAGGTAGATAAGTTTAGGTATCTAGGTTCTACGATAACTAGAAAAAACGAAATTGAAGAAGAAATTAAGGTTAGACTGATTGCGGGAAATGCTTGTTATTTTTCTGTGACAAAACTACTTAGTTCGCGCCTCTTGTCCCGAAACTTAAAAATTAGAATCTATAAAACAATTATCTTGCCTACAGTTCTTTATGGGTGCGAAACTTGGCCGCTTACATTAAGGGATGAGCAGCGTCTTAAGGTTTTTGAAAATAAAGTATTGCGTAGAATATTCGGACCGAAGAAGGATGAGTTAACTGGAGAGTTCAGACGGTTACACAACGCCGAATTACGTGAACTGTATCCGAGTAATATATTTGAGATAATTTCATCGCGGCGAATCAAATGGGCTTGTAAAGTTGTTGGACTTAGAAACGAGAGAATTCCTAAAAGGCTAATATTTGCTGTGCCGAATGGTAAGCGTCCGAGGGGTAGACCGAAGCGAAGGTGGGAAGATTGCATTAAAGCTGATCTGAAGGGACTGGGTTTGGACGGTGAACGATGGAGGGAGGTGTGCAATAACCGATTGTTGGTGTCGGCATCGAACCTTCGGGTTCGCTAAGCCTTTTATTATTATTATTATTATGATGGTATGATAAAAGACCGAGACTGGTAGCAAGGAGAGAATAAAAAAAAAAAATTAAATACAGGGGCACAATATTTTTTTATTGTTCACAAATTCACAATTATTTGATATTTTAATAATACATTTTTTTCTTCATCCCTGTTGGGGTGCTAAAATATAATATGTATTTGATTCATTAGCTTTTTAGGTTCCAAATATAATGATATTACTTCTTTTAGGCAGTATTGATTTTAAATAAACGACTAGTCTTAATAGTTTATTGATTATTTTTATCAATGAATTACAATTTAAATTATTATTTCAAAACACAAACCTTATTGTTTGTCTTGTAGACCAATATAAGTGACATCTTGTGGAAATAATATAACCTTACCCTGATAAAACTTCACAACTTATTTTTTATCGAAGAACTTACTCCTCAATTTACTTCAAACAGGTTGATTGAATTTAAATAACACCAACACCATTAACTAACTAAATTGGTCTGGACTGAACCATGAACTTGTGGACAGTAGATGAACCACTTACTCAGTGTATGGAACTATTTCCTTATATAGTAGCGCACAATGCCTGGATCTATCTTGATCAATTGAGACTGAACTTCAGTGACATCTAATCTTTTTAAATAATTTCTCTATTTTATAACTTTTGGTGTACATAAAATCATTATAATATTCAATTTAATAAATTTTGATTATTATTTATAAGTAAATATTATAATTCTATAGTAAATTTAATCAAATTTGTTCTGCTATCATGAAATAACCAAATAGAATAGAAAAAATTGTGTTTGTTTTCCATCAGTAAACCACCTTCAGTGCATTTTGTGCTTACATGTTAGGACAGCCTCATTATATGTTAATATAATTGTCAATACTTGACTTCTTTCAATCTACAGTGTGTACAATCTTAAACAGAGTAACCATCTTGGAATAGTGATCTGGAAGTAGTACCATTCTTTATTTATAAAACCTAACATTGTTTTTTTATTTATTTATTATTTTTATTTACAGATCCACAAGCTCATGCTTACAGACACCGTTAGGGTAAAATCATACAAAGATGCTATACTCTCTAATAAGGAACTTTTCAAGGACAGCATTGTGTTAGATGTTGGCGCAGGATGCGGTAAGTTTCTGAATCTCGTATTTTTTCAGTGTTCATTGTTAAGTAATAACCAATTATATTTTAAATTGCTTAAAAAGTAAAGGTGGGTTTACACCAAATGTTTAGTCCATTATTAATTTTAAATAATTGAGTTTCAATCAATTGTATAAATGAATTGAGTGGACAGTATTAGAATTTATGGAGCTTGAATAAAACATAAGTTAAACAATTGGTGGCACTTGAAATTGATAAAGCAAATAAATTGTTCGAAAAAATTAACATCCCACTTCATTAATGTAAAAATTATCCAATGTTTTAAAAACGCACTGAAATGTTATAATAGGCAGAGTTAAATTATCTGAGGATGCCTAAAGACTCTGTGTTATTATAGGTTTGGTTGTACCTCTAGAACAATGGTAGTTGTATTAGATGGCATTTCTTCTGATAAATGTACTGATTTTGTTATTGTGCAGGACAAGTTCTTAAGTGCTCAAATTTACTTGGAACACTCAGACAAAGATGGGCAAATGCTACTCTGAGTACCGAGTACCAAATATTTTACTCTAATAGAATCACTATTAGAAATTCAATCACTACTTCAGTTAATCGTTTGACATCAAATGAAGTAGTAATTAAATTTTTTGGTACTCAAAAAAGGTCAGTATTTAAGTAAAATACTTGGTACTCAGTACTCAGAGTATGATTTGCCCATCTCTGCGCTGAGAAGAACTTTCGAGTGCCACTTGTCCCCTAGATTAGAAACAGTTTCCTGCTGAATCATGAAAATACATCACAATGACAGAGTTCAGAGTGTAGTCTTGCATCTCCAGAAGGTTGAAATCATATTCCTGAAGGGGCCACTAAAAAAGTTATATTGAATACTTAATAGTTGACAGTTGTATTATTAAGGAAGGAGATGGTCTGGGGTGGCGGTCATAAATAGGCTAAATAGTGGCAAAACTACTTTATTAAAAGCCAAGTTCTCGACCCGACTTTGCAGGCCTTCTTCAGCGCTAGGACGGACAAGATAAAAAGATATAGAGAATTGTGTAAGTTAAATAATATTAAGATAAAAAATTATAAACAATGTGAATAAGCTTACTAAAATTATAAACAGTAAGTATATTAAAATATAAACAGAGTAAGCTAAGTAACAAGATCCTAAACTGAAGTAAATAGATGTTAACAATTATTGTAGTGTAATATATAATATATGCAATTGCGAATATACTCCTACAGATCTGCAGGAGATTGGAAGAAAAGGAAAAAGGATATAATATGAAATAATGGACATAAAGAAATGTGGAGAAAGAAAAGAAAACAAAAAATAAATAAATAAGTAAATAAAATTAGAAGAATAAAAATAGAGACTTACAGGTGTGTTCAGCAAGGAGTTTCACTTAAAACTGGAAAACCTGAGTAAGTACCTTTGGTGAAGAAATGGTGAGGGAGTAAGTCGTTAAAAGTAAAACAAAACCTTGAATATTACAGTATCTAAAATTTGAAGATATGGATAGATACAAGGGAAAATACTATATCTATGGATTAATAAATTATAAATATATACATATACATATAAAATAGAATTGGGAAATTATAGATAGAATTTCAATGTGATTAAAAACAAAAAAGAAAAAGTAAAACGTATATAGAAGTAAAATGTAAAATTATAATTATACTTAGTTGTACATATGAAAATTACATTTATATATTAGATAATATTGAGTCATAATGGTTAAAAAGTACAATGAATACAAAGTAAAAACGGATGATCATGCATTGATGTAGAGTGTGAATATAAAATTAAACATAAAAGAGAGATCATACAAAGTGGAAATACTTGAAAATAATAAACGATTAAATTAAATTAATCAATAAAAATTGAAAATAGATAAAAAATAATAAGATGTATTAAATAAGTTATTTTTCACTTATAAGATTTAAAATGTGCCTATATGTTAAAGAAATGCAGTTTTTATCTACTTTATGATTAACAGGATTCTGTTCCATGTGAATGTGTATGGATTAGGAAATGAGTCTTTTTCATGGTTAGGGTCTGTGGCAAGAATAGAGGTTTTTTCAAAATCAAATGAATAGTTGAGGGTTAAGGCATGTTCTGATAGTTTGGAGGTGGAAGGGTTTCGGTAATTTATGGATGTTTTATGTTGGGAAATGCTGGCTTTGAGATGGTTTTTGGTTTTGCCAATATAGGAGCTATTACAGTTAGGAGTAGAACAAGGTATCCGGTAAACTACATGAGATCGGTGTTGTAAAAGTATGGGATCCTTCAAGTTGGTGAAAAGGAAAGAAAGTTTGTAATGGGACTTGTGGCCAAGACGTAAGTTGGTTATAGTTGATTTAAGGAATTTTTGTATATTATCTGAAAGAATAGGAATATATCCCAAACTTGGCTTAAACCTTACATTCCATCCTTTTCTGTTTCCTTGCCTAACCACACCCTCCTCTTTCATGACTGGGTAAGCCGGAATGGCAGAGAAGTGGCCATGTTTTTCCATAGTAGCCTGAAGACCCGAATCCTTGATTCCTCACCACCCTCCTTTACATTGTGGTATATCGTCCTCCCCTTGTTCCATTTGATCATTCCTTTGAATCAACCCTATTCAATTTCATTCCTCTATATTCCAGAATAATCATCTCCGGTGACCTCAATACCAATTTCCTCTCTAACTCCAATGACAAATCCTATCTAGAAAACCTAATTTTCTCTCTGCACCTCTTCATCGTTCCATTTTCCTCCACCCACCATACCAGCAGGTCCGACACTTGGCTAGACTTCTACATTATAGACTCTGCACAAAACCTCTCTTCTCAATTGCCAGTATCCTTTCTATTATCTCATAATCTGTTATAAATAACATATAATATCCGAACTCCTTCAATCCAGCCTCGAACTATCACCTTCCGTCATCTAGATACCCTTATTCGAGGGCTTATTTCTTGAAGTGATATACATGGCAACCAAGTTAGCATTCAGTAACCAAGCACTCATGGCCAAGTTGGAACAGGCCAAGTACCTCCTTAGAAGTTGGAGGAAAGAAGGAAGGAACATCACCGCAGAAGGTCGCATGAGCTGTCTTGCAAGACGAGGAGTTCCTTGATGGCATACAGCGTAGGGTGGCCTCTGGAGTGCTGACTACAACACTAGCCATGGCCGAACAAGAATTAGAAGAAGAGAAGAGAAAATATAAAGACACCCTGTCGGGAAAGGACAGGGCATTAAGAGAGCTATGAAAAGCTGGAAAAGTGGCAATTGGGACGAAAGATGGCAACTGGATGCCCAAATTGCCAAAAAAGATGTGACGGCAGACCAAGGATCATGTTAAATCAGATGGGGTAATGTCGCCTTTGCACTGTCTCATCATAAATGCCACCAAAACAGGACATAAATGAAAATTCAGCCACACTTGAAACGGTTGTGCTCCAATATAGGGACGTTGTGGTATGCTCTGACACGAACCCCTGGAGTATGGTCTGGAGTTCAAGCCGTACGGATGCTAGAGGTGTGATGGTTGAGGGTAACGTTGCTAGATGCCACCTCATAATAATAATAATAATGCTTTATTTATTCTGGGACGAGTCCCTTTAGAATAATACAGAGAGACAAAAATGTGGGCTAAGGAGCCTCAGAGATACATAAAGAAGAATATAGTTTGATTAAATAGTAAAAAAAAAAAAAAAAATAGATAAATGAAAAAAAAAATAGTAAGAGAAATTATAGGTTACTTTCTAATTTACATCAGTTAATAATAAAAAATTGAAAATAAACATGAAGTAAAAATAATAAACAACGATCTAATAATTTATATACATATTTACAGCAGTAACCATTTACAATTTTATGATGACTGGATGGATAAGAAATGATTAAACAGTTGGGATTTAAAGGTAGGAAGGGTTTTGGATTGATGGATGTGGGGAGGGATGGAGTTCCATAGGGAAGAGGATCGAATAATAAAAGATTTATCGAAAGCAGCGGTTTGGTGGGCCATTATATATAAATCTGAAGACCAGGAATGGTTATTGTGGAAGTGGACAGAGGATTTAAATTGAAGGAGCTCGGCGATGTATGAAGGACGGCGGGAGTGAATTACTTGGAAGAGGAAGGATGCCAGGAAATACTTATGGCGGTAGGAAGGATAAACTCACTTCAACTCTTCATAGAAACAGGAAATGGGCGTCTCTTGGGATCCCGAAGATGAATCGTACAAAGCAATTTATCAAATGTTTTAATAATGAATAAGCAATAAGCAATTTTAATAATGAATGAAATATCTGGACCCACTTTCGTGGGGGCCAGAGGAAGCAGCTGGATAGACGTGACACTTGCCTTGTCAACCATGGCAAAACGTGTTGAGTTGTATCGGCAGCAGTGGCATGTGCAATACCTTTGCTGCTGAATAATCCGTATGACAGAGATGGCTAGGTAGGATGAAAAAAGAAAATAAAAAAGCATAGTCAAGGTCATCAGGAATTTTCAGGGATATGCTAAAGTTTATTTTGTCGGAGAGGATTTGGCAAAAAAGGTTCCAGTTAATGGGGCCTCTATCTAAGGAATGGGGATGTAGAAGGTTTGGGAACGGGTTCTAGTGAAACATTAAGAATTAGTGGACTATGGTCAGGTGTAAAATGAAACAATGGAGGGGACCTAAGCCACTATGGATGAAGAAATTGAAGATTTCAGGATTACGGTGTTAGGATCTGTGGGCCAGTAGATAGGAGAGTTAGGAGAAATGAGGTGAAAACATTGGTAATTGACTGCCTACAGCAATGTTCAGCCACGAGAATTTGTAGTTCTTGAATCCCATTGTTAGTGCTTGGCATTTAAGTCTGCACCCAAGAAGAAATGATGTCCTAATGAGTTGAGGAGAGAACTGAACTGGGCGTTGGATATGGATCGGTCAGGAGGGCAGTATGCTAATGCAAGAGTGACCAGAAAGGAGAAGGTTTTGGTTATGGTAGCAGTGGATTTTAGGAAATCTTGGGTAGGTAATGTTGGGAGTAGGTGATGGGAGAGGGATTGGTGTACAATGACAGCAGTGCCGGCATGTGCTTTACCATCAGGATGGTCAGTACGATATGTCAAGTATTGTATAATTTTGAAGAACTGTTTAGTGGTTAGTCGAGTTTCAGTAATTAGTGCCACGTCAATGTTCTTGTCAACTAATAAAGCAGATAGTTCGTCTGTATGATCATCACCTGGTCATCAGCAAATAGTAAATGGCATAGCTTTTTTTCTCCTAACTCGACACCCATTTTCCCACATTTCCTCATCCATCCTTTTAGGCATTTATCAAGGTATATTTTAAATAGAATTGGGGACATGCAGCATCCTTGTAGCAACCTTGTATATAACATTTAAATAGGATATAAATTAAATCATTTATATGACACTGTTGAGGTATTGTATGGTTTATACAGTTATCAGAAGGTCTCGACAGAGCCTGTTCAAATTTGGGTTATATGACTTAGTGGATGAATGATGAGGCTAAGATAGGATGACCTCAAGTGTCAGGCGGATGAGCCCCCAAATCACTATTGATCTGCGGGCTAAGGGATGAACCTTAAGACTCCGCAGCATGGAAACCGCAAACGGAGGGATGAATCTCCTGACATAGTATATAGGAGTACAAGCGGACGGATGAGCATCCAGACCTTGTATGGAGAGAGAATAGGAAAAAATGTTAAAGGAGCATAGTGAAATAAAAGGTTGATGTAGAACTAAAAAGCATATATAGAATATACTGATCAAACTGCTGGGAAGGTCAGATTTTTCAGCCTGAGGGCTAGGAGGATCATTCCTTCATGCAAAACATGGGTAATGAGAGTCATACCTGAATATACTGATATTCTTTTTTTGATCAATTGATTTTATATAGCTTCAACTTTATTGAATAAAATAAACATACTTTTAAAGTACAGATATACTAATACAAAATATATTTTTACTTATAATATATTTACAAAAATACAAAATATAATTCATCTTCTTATGGCGAGCGTCTGGTGGTGGCGCAGTATTGTAGCAGGCGCATGAACTACGTGAAGGGCCGCTACAACACAAATAACAGAGAAAGAACACACCTTGTGTTTATAATAAACCTGCTACCAATAGCTTCCAAGTGGTTAGGAACCGGAATGACCGAACTGAGTGACCTCCAGGAAAGTAATGAATGCACCGACCAAGCCACAAGGTGAATTGTGGAAGCAGGCCCTACTGCTACAAGTGGCGACGGCCAAGTTATAAAGGCAGGTATCTCGGCTGCCCCAATGACCCAACTGCCCGCCAGCTAGGAAGGCAGGTGTTCCACCCGCAGTCAGAGTGTTAAGACAGATTGGCTGATGATATTGAAAGTTTGTCATAATAGATTATTATTTAAGGTTGATTCATTTGCTTCATACCAAATCCATTTTTTTTTTTTTTTTTTTTTTTTTTATCTTGGCTGGGGATAGGCAATTTTACTTTATAATATAGTTGTTTAATCCATAATGAATTGTTACTTGTTTGTTTATTAAAATAGTATGTATGGTATGAATATTAATATGTACTATTTCATTATAAACCTTATGAAGGATGATAAATATTCAAATTTTCTTCTGTTATAGGTATTTTATCAATATTTGCTGCTCAAGCAGGAGCCAAGAGAGTATATGCTGTGGAAGCTGCTGGTTCTTTAACACCAATGATCAAGAAAGTTGTTGAAGACAATAATTATACAAAAGTGGTTCAAGTGAGTTTAATGTATCTTTTTTTCTAATACGTTGTAAAGATTTTTATTTTCATTGAAATTATAAGTTTTTAATTGAATATTTAATAGTTGACCAGTGCATTCTGTATCTTTTTGTATCTTGTCCGTTCTAGCCCTGAAGGAGACCTGCAAAGTTGGGTCGAAACGTTGGCTTTTAATAAAATAGTTTTGCCACTATTAGCCTATTTATGACCGCCATCCTGGACCATCTCCTTCCTTTATAAGTTTTTAAAATTTTAATATTAATAATAGTCAAAATTATACACTTTTTAAGTTTGCAAATAAAAAAAATACACATACAAATTCTTAGTTGAAATGGAATGAAATCTATATATATATAAAAATGAATGTATGTCTGTCCGTCTGTTTGTCCTTAGTGCATTACTAAACCATTCAACCGATCGCCATGAAACTTTAGGAAGTTGTTCCGTATACTCCTGGGAAGGTATCTGGCATAGTACTTCTGTCTTACGATAGTTTTATATATGTAAACAAAATAAAAATGTAAATGTTTTTCTGTTCAAAGCTGCAAAAAATGTGTCGCTATAAACTGTAGTGCCAAAACGGCTTTACCGATTTTAACGAAACTTGGCTAAAGTCTTCCCCTTGAAACCCTTTTAATTTATTTGTATAACATATTTTCCCGAAAACAAGCTGAAAAATGTTACGATGAATTCAATATTTTATTTGACGATAACTAAAAAAGTACACAATTTTTGACTGATAATACCCACATTTATTTGAAAGATTCCTGATTTGCCGACAAAATAAAAAAGATGTCATCGAAATAGATAAGCATTATCTCCGAAATAAAATTATTTCTATCGGCCATAGGAGTAAAGTGGGTTAAATTATTTTTTTAAGGAAAAAAAAAGTTCAGATTTGTATATCACACCTCGATAAACCCTCAATTACCAATTTTCACTGGAATCGAAAAATAATTTTTTTTTTGTCTCAAATTTTCGTCAAGGGTGGGACCTTCAATTTTATTTCGGAAACTACAAACCTTAATAATGGCTCCACTTATAAACACAAAAAAAAATCAGGGGTTTGGGGCCACGTAAACTGCACAAATTGCAACAGACCGTACCCCCGCAAGCATATTAGAAGTGGAGATAAAAAATTAAAACGCATTAGGAGATTTTCTCTATTTACTCTTCATGAAGGCGTTAAATCTAAAAATTTTTGATATGGTTTTGAAGAGCAGCATCTCAGCTTTCTAACGGTTATTGAATCATTGAATAAGAAGAAAATCCTGAGGAGTTATGAATTATTTAGCGAACAGTAGGGAAAAAGATTCCAATAGACAATGAATTGATAAGCTGAAAAATGTTACGATGAATTCAATATTTCATTTGACGATAACTAAAAAAGTACACAATTTTTGACTGATAATAATAAAAAAAAATCATCGAAATCGGAAAGTTCGTTATCGGACAGAGTTATTGAGTTTTAAACATTTACTGCTTTCTCTTCAGGAAAGGCCGTTTCATTTTGTCATTTTCATTGTTAAGCATTTTTTATTTATTGATTTATCGAAAATTTTATAATTACTACAGTAATTGAAATTATCACTTGAAGAATTTATATGATTCTCCTTATGTAGGTCAATACTATTATGCGTTTTTTAAATTAATTTTTTAATTTAGTTTTATATGTTCAACTCAGACTGTTTCTGATGGTTATGAATGACGGCGTATTTACTCAGATGATTATGAATGTTCAATTTGAATCATGAGAAAAAAAAAACAATTAGAATTAATTTCACTTGAAGCCATTTTACAGACAAATTTATTTCCCAACTTTTTAAAAATGACAGATGTCCTTTGCTACTAATCTACTCATATGTGTTTTCTATTTTCTTTCTTTTTCATTTTGCCAAGCTAAGCCACAGCAGCGCGTGGCCGGGTAAAGCTAGTTATATTATAAAATAATATATAAATATTTAATATAATTAAAATAAAGTAATATATAATAAATTTACAGTAAAAACAAATTTTATAATGAAACTTTGTATTAAAAATAATGAAAGAGGAGGATTGATTTAGTAATTGTTTGGTCTCTGAATTATAGTTAATTTTATTTTCATGCATAATTTTATAGTTAAATTTAGAGTTTAAACTTTAAACTTTGACATATAATAATGTATAAATAACATTTTAAAAGTGCCAATCATAAACTATGGGTTAGTTAATTCTGGCTATTTATATTTATTTTAATTTTAGCTATTTATATTTGAATATTTAGGATAATTAAAATTTAATTTATAGCTAAAATTTGTAATAGTAATTAAAAGTTCTTTCAAGATCTCGACTGAAATTCCTGAAAATTTTGTTTCTTCCTTATAATTGATCAGTCGACTACTTACCCATCTTAGAAGTTTTTTCATTGGCAGTTCTGGTCATATGTACTGCTGTTCTTATTTTTATTGGTCTTTTTAGTTAGATTCAGAAATTTCCTCAAAATTTATTTAATTTATTCTTTATTGAGTTGTAACTTTTATACAGTAGTTTGCTGTAGGTTAATTTTTAAACTGTTTTTTAATAAGTGTTTGTACGCCGATTTAAATTTAGATACATTAATATCGATGATATAATAAATATAATATAATATAATAAATATCGATTATTTATAAAGTTAGCAATGAAAACTTCCCAGATTTTTAGCTGAACAGAAAAAAAAGAAAACATAAGAAATAAATATCCATATGTGAATTCATAAGTTTATAAGTATCAAGGCATAATATCATACAAAAAAATGTACCAATTTATTGAAATTGATAAGTTGATACTTTTTTTGACAAATTTGTTTTTTAAAAATGTTATTAGGAACTAGGAAAAAAGTCAATTAAGTCATTTTAGTACAAGAAAACAAATTGAATCAAAAAATGAAAAACGTTGGAAGAAAGTAACTATTAAACAAATTTCAAAAAACCTATAAAAGATTTAACATTCATTATTAAAAAGACTTATTACTAAGAACTAGAAGAAAAAATTAAATAAAGAAATTCAAACTTGTACAAACAGATAATCATTCAGATTACCCATCTGAACAAAAAGATGGAACTGTTGGTTGGAGAAGGATAAAGATTTTAATTTGGAAAAAATAATGGAATGGTTAATAGAGCCAAAGGCTTTCGAGAAGTCAATAAGTATAAGGATAGTTAACATTTTGCCATCAGTAGCTGCCTGAACAACACTGATAAAATTTTAATTTTGGCAAATTCCCTGGAGTAGCCGGGGTTACAACCAGATTGGAGAGGATCAAGTTGGAAGTTGGTTGGGTTCTTCAAGAATATTGGGAACTTTGGATTGCACTAATTTTTCCAGGGGTTTTAAGAGATTGGAAAGGATTGAAATTGGGCAGAATACAGTGGCAGTCATTCTCGTGCCAACTGATATCTCACGTAAAGAAGTTCCTTTTAATTTTGTTTTCATGATCAAGTTGTCCCTATCTGACTAGCTGACAAAGCGGGTGATGACAGGCAGGTGTTGCAGTTCATTTTTCCTGGCTCTGCTGCACTGCACCATGTCCAGGTCTTCTATATTAAACTTTATGCCCAAATCTTGTCCGTATACTTGTTGCTAGGACAGCAGGGGTCTTGCCTGCTTGTATTGGTTTCTGTGGATCTCCAGGGATTTGTAAAATATGCCCTCTTCTGCTTTATTCAGCCAGACTTCTAATTTACCCACCCAGGATTTCAGGGATTTTTTTTTAAAGGATAATTTCTTCAAAACGCTTTGCTTTTTCTTCTAGAGGTTTTCAATGTCTCATTTAATTTGAAACTGAATGTCCGGTTTTTTTGTTCGGGCTTTTTTAATATATTTTTTAATTCTGATTCACTTCATTGTCAAAGAGATTTACTGCCACCAGTATTTCTGGATGCAACGGCTTGGTGCTTAACTTTCTTGTGTGGTTATTAAAATTCAGTCAAACACGTTTTTTAAAAAGCTTTTGGGCTTCTATCTTCTTACCTATCAGATTAAAACACCTGTCCTGATAAATAACCTTACATTTTGTTGAGAAACAGACATTGTTTTTATTGCCACACTCGATAGTATTGCTGTAAATAAATAGTATGCTAAACCCTTTTTATTTATTAAATTAATGAAGTATTATGATTAAAATAAATACTGGGAGGCAAGGCAATGTTTTATATATAAATATATATAATTAGATTAATTGCATAGTTTATTTGACATTTTTTAATATTTTATTCAAATTATTTGATTTCAGGTTATTGTGGGAGAAATGGAAAGTGTTATTATCCCTGAAAAAGTCGACATAATCATATCTGAATGGATGGGATTTTTCTTACTGCATGAGGGTATGCTTGATAGTGTTCTGTTTGCTAAGAAATATCTAAAACCAAATGGGATAATGTTTCCTGAAGAGTGCAGTATATTTGTTTCAATATGTGAATTGCCACATTATTTTGATGAATGGAATGATCTGCACGGTGTCAAAATGGATGAATTTGGTAAAGCAATTCGATTAATTGCTCAAGGGAAACCTGAAATTGGTTATGTTAGTAAGGACTACCTGCTTTCTGATCCATTGGAAATCTTTCGTTTCAAGCCATTGGAATCAGATCAAAGTAAATTTCGTAAGATCACTGCAAAGCATGTCGTGTCAGCTAAACGTCCAGGAAAATTTCAAGGTGTTTGCATCTGGTTTGACGTGAAATTTCCAATTCCAACAGGGAATGTAGTTCTATCTACTTCTCCGTATGGACCCGAGACCCACTGGAAGCAAACAATTGTTGTGTTACCTCATGAAATACTTTTGGAAGATCATGAACCAGTAGCATTCGAATTAACGTTTTTTAGAATGCAACGTAGAAATTACCAGATAACGTTCGAACTGCATGAAACTGATGGAATTGAACATCCCACTCCTTGTGACTGTCACTTAGCAAGATGTCGAGTTATAAAAGCATTCTTGGCTGAACGTCCAGATGATCCAGCATAGCGCTTACATGTTTTAAATTGAAATATGGTAATGTTCTAGCTGTCATGGGTAAGTTCATGAAAAAATATTTTTCTTATTGACTTATCATAATACAATCCTTATGATTAAAAATAAAATCCCCTAATCATGAATGCCAACTTATATTTAAATAATTCTCCTTTTTTTTTTTCACAGGTTTTGTTATAAGTGAAAGGCTTGAAGAAGTTGCAAACTTGTGAAAAGGAGATAGAGATACTCCGAGAAGGAGATTGAGAGTTTAATTAAGAAAGTTCACAATGTTGTTTTGATTCAATGTAATGGTTATTAAAAACATAACATTAAATTTGTGTTCACATAAATTTAGTGTCAGAGGATAGAACAATTAAATTAGAAAATTATAATATTCTATATAATACAATTTTAAAGGTGATATTAAAAGCTAAAGCAGTATCTAAAAGATAGTTATTACTTACCAACAAGTGATAACTATCTTTTTGATACTAAAATACACCAAGTATTTTTTTCTTCTAATGATTCTAGTTTACTTTCCTCTGACACTGATTCCCTCAATTAATATCTTTTAAAGTTGATGTTGAGCACACTTAATCTTTTGGATTTTTATTGAAGCTTCGAGTTTAAATTCTATTCTATTCTTTTCTTAAGGATTTAATCTTTATATATTTTAATTATTTGACCATTACAATTTTTTATAGTTTATTGTTCGTTGGTTTTTATGTGTTCTGTGTTTTGTTTCAACAATTTTTAATTGTTAATAAAAATTTAAAATTGTTTTATTCCTACAATCTTTATTGTTTTATCGTAAGACACCTTAAATAAAAGCAAATTTTATACATATTCTTTTCTTAAGGATTTAATCTTTGTATATTTTAATTGTTTGACCATTACAATTTTTTATAGTTTATTATTTGTTCTGTTTTGTTTCAACAATTTTTAATTGTTAATAAAAATTTCAATTGTTTTATTCCTACAATCTTTATTGTTTTCCTTAAGACACCTTGTTTTCAATTTATTATGTTATTGATGGGTGCTAAAGTCATCAAAGATCATCTTATAAGAAAATTTCCTCTTGCCGATTGCGTTTTAAGACCATATGAGTGAGTGGCCTAATATCAAAGACTGAAATCTGTCGTTTTCAGGAAGTGGGGAAAAAGTCAATTTTTGTTTTATATGGTTAACTCAAACTGTTTATGATGATTTTATTTAAGACTGTTTATGTCGATAAATTATTAGAATTGGTTTAAATTGAAGCGATGTTACAAAAATTGGCTTTGTCTCAACCAAAAATAACCGATGTCTGTCTTAGATATGAAGCCACTTATATTTTTTATGGGGATCAATAGCTTAACTTGTTGAAAGAAGGTTGCAGATAGAACGGACATGATCTTGTTTCAAAAAATAATAAATGTTTATTGTTCTTGATCATCTTGTTTGTTTTGAATTATATATAATTCATAAATTTTTGCTATTAGGTCAAGGTTCACAAATTGTCTTGGTGTGAGACACAAATCTGGTCTTTTCATGTGACCCTTGTTGAGATAGATCACACAGATCTTGTTCTGTGTTATTGATAATGCAATACGTAGTAGTACAACTAGAAGGCCGAGAGTGTAGTACCCTTAATTAATAATCTCGAGCTTAAGTAAGGCGCAGCTTCGAATCCAATCTGGGTAGGTTATAATTTATTTTATGGTAAACTCATGGAGTGAATCTGGACCATCTAACTGGTTGGTTACCTGTAGGGTAACCTCCCTCTTCCTTTCCTTCTGCACTATTAAGCAAGGAATGGCTGGTATTTGGTAAAAAAAGTAATAAAACTAGATTACAGTGGGGTATAAAATTGTGTTCTGTGCCATGATATGCCTGAGCCTTAAAAGTAAAAAATCAAAAAGAGTAGAACCAAAAAATAGTATAAACAATGACAGCAATTATTTTGAAAATTACAGTCTCCGCTAATGTCAAAAAATGATACATACTGAGGCAGTAAAAGATGTAAAATTGTTAGAAAAAAAAATGTGTATCTGTCCACAACTTAAAGGTATGCATTAGTATGGGTTATATAGTTATTATATAGTCATTTGATAGCTCATTAAATTCTATTTCTTTTTGTTAGTTTGGGGATTAGTGTCATTTCATGGGGTTAGAAAACTTGATCTGATGAACTGTACTTTTAATTCAGTCAGTTATTTTGACATTTTGAAAATAATTTAAAATACAGGAGTAAGTAATAATGGATCAAAAACCCACAGATATTTTAACAAGGTAAAAATCCGAAGTTTACAGCACATTAGGTCTAAGAGAGGATCTTGTAAAATGCATTAAAAACCTCTTAACCATAACTTAAAGTCCAGATGTTAATTTAGCAAATATTGCATAGGATAGAACATAGGATTCAGAAGTGTATCATTAACTCAAAAAAAAAAGTACACAATGGAAGTTTTACTCGAATATATTTGGGGGTAAAATTGAGCCCCACTTATCTTGTTTTCTCTTTGTCTTCGAGCTGGTACTGATGTAAATCTATTTATTTCAAAACAATGATTCCTAATTTTTGGTTTAATAACTGTCTAAAAAGTAATAAAAATCAAATTAATATAAATAGTAGTTGACCTAGTATAATCCTAAAGTTTGTTGATGATTCCTCTGAAAGGATTATTTAGGTTTCAACAATCAATCCGGCTTACAGTCTCGATTGTTGACAACTGTAAATTATTTCATTAGCATTTTAAACCATTATTCAGGTGTTTTAAACCATGACTTCAGGCAATGATTTTTCTTTGTCAACAGATTAATTTAGGTTCCACCAAATTAATATTGACTACAATTGCTTCACAGAAACAGCTATGATCCGAACTGTGAAATAGATAAACAATAGTTTTACATCCCAATGCCTTATTCATATTTTAGCATTTTCTACATTATTTCAAGTAATATTGGACAAAGTTTGGGCAGCTTTGTGTTAAGCTTTTTTTTTTTTTAGTTCGGTTCGAGCCGGTGACATAGACACATCGGTTCCACAGTGATTTCACTTTTGATTTGATTTTTTTTGCCCAATTGAGGAGATCAGAATTTGACAACGGATTGTAGAGCCACGCTATTAATAATAATAATAAATTTATATCTATTATTATGTTATCGAGGTCATTATTTTTAAGATTTCTAATGTATATTGACTATGTATCAATTTATATAAACCATTCATAGTTATTCGCTATCAAGTTAAATGATAATGTTTTCGGGGGTGTAGTTTTTCAAAAGACTAACGACTTTAAAGTAAATTGATTAAATTAAACTTTTCATATTTATTTGGTATAAACGTCTAGTATTAGGTATTTGGGAGTATAGATTTTAGAAATACTATTGATTCTTATTTGGGTATAAAACCTTTCAGCCCGAAAGCCCGCCCCCCCCCCCCCCCCCCGTAGATGTGCCTGTGCCACAGACTATAAAAGAATGGACTCTTATATCGAAGAGATTAAAAAAACTTTATGAGTGAATCCGCAATCTCATATCCAGATAGTACTTTAATAAAATCCCTCTCCCCTACAACATATATTAGTAGATGCTGATATTAAAGAAATTTGAAATTTTACTACATCATGAGGCACAAATCACTAATTTGAGTAGGTTTATTTGTGTTATGTTCAACAAAATATTTAAAATAAGGTTGGTGTTTTAAATCTATAATTAAAAAACTTTTTGCCAAGGTCTGGTCTACTTTAGCTCTGGATGTGGAGTATATAACACAATATATATGAGTATACACACTGTACTACAATAAAAAAATTTCAGGTTATTACAATGACAATAATCAAATAATACTTGATCAATATAAGAATACTCATAATACTTTTCATATATTATATTATTTTTTTATCAAAAATATATTCAATTGACTCAGCAACAAAAATAATATTTTAACAAAAACAGAAAATTGTTAACAGATACAATCTAAAACTAACAAAAATAGTACATTTATCTAGAATTAAAATGCATTCAGTCCAGTAATAGCTCTTCCCAAAATAAGGGCATGAATGTCATGAGTACCTAAAACAAAAATGAATTACTTAAAAATCAAAAAGAATAAAATAATGAGTAATTGGTAATGACATTGTGAAATTAAATTGTATACATAGTTTTGTATAAAACTATATAATTTTATATATAGTTGTTTTTTATCTTTCCACGTCAACTTAAATAGGTAACTACTCCTAAGGTTATATTTATATATACATATAATGTCCATTCTCAATATAAATATATACTATAAACAGGCACAGATATGTTATACTAAAACACTATGTAATCCTTAATATAATACATGCTATTATGATTAATATTGATATTGTTTAATATATTGTCCTACGTATCATTTCATCAATCAATTACAATTGTCTTTATTATAAATATTATTTGGGTAACCATTGAATACTTTTAATAAAACTAAGTTATATTTATATTGATTGGCACCTCTTGCTTATGTTCATTTCACTACCAGCCAATAGTCACAATTCTGTAACCATAAGAAACAACGCAAATATTGTACACATCTGAAATATTTAGTTAGCAAATTATTTACGTTCTACAAACAGAAATGTTAACTCCTTTTCCCCAGAGGGGGTTTATTTATTTATTTTTTCTATATTTACCTACCTTTTGCTATCGGAAAAAGGACAACTGGGAAATCCTCCTTTGACCTTTTCACTTACCTACCAAATGTGTAGGTACTTGAACAGTCTCAGTGCTCAAACCACGGTTAGAAAGAGAAAATATTACAAATTTGTATAAATAGATTATATACATTATTTTTAATTTTTAGTTTGTATAACTATTTACATATGTCATTTTTAATATGTGTATTGTAATATTAGTTAAGATTCATGTACCATCAATCACTATAGTTTAGTATTTACCATTATCGGTCGTATAATATTATATCTCTGATTGTATTTTAAAATTTTCAGCCCTGAAGATGACCCACATGTCTTTTTATATATAGGTTTTTTTAAATATATTCAATAAATTTCTTGAATGAAGGGTTGAAACGTTGGCACGAATAAAAAATAATTTTTTTTTTTGAAAAGACACCTGAATATTCATCACCCATTATATATAGTTTTGATACAGAATTTAATTAAGCAAATACTGGGAGGTATTTTATAGATTAATTTACTACTAATCAGTATATATTATCATTTTTTTTTTAAACTTTGGATATTTATTTAGTGGTTCCTGAATATTACTTCCGATATTAAATTGGATTAGATATTTGGTTTTTTATGTCCTAGACTTAAGCTTTTATAGTTCAAAAGTTTCAAGATGGGAGATACTTTTCAATGAACACTGTTATGAAGCAGGATGATGCTTAACACTAAAAAGAGTTATAATAATCTGTGACTATTTTGGGTTAATCTGCTCATGGGAGCCCATGGTCAAGGTTGGTCCTACCATCATTTTCCTGCACAATCTGACTGCCCCAAGTTGTGTAACTGCATACGACACAGTATACTTACCTTCCAGAGAATGTGCTGGCAAACCACCTTGGGGCGAGGGTCCTTGGTGCCCAATTCAAGAACACAAGGTCTAGCTGCTGGACTACCTCCCCTACTAATACCAGCATTGAGATAGAAACCCTCACCCATCAAGACATGATGGCCAAGTATGAGAGTGCCCGGTTCTGAATGTTGTGGGTTCAATTCCCATCTAAGTCCATTAATATTTACTTAGTGGTTCTAGGAGATGAATCTTGACACTTTTATTCTAGTAAATATGAGTTGGTAACATCAAGGAAGCTGTCAGGGATGGCAAAAAGGAGCACAAGATTTACTTGCCGCGCTAGTCTCCTCATGGGTGAGTTTTATACCACACATCCTCTAGATCCCAAGTAAATATCAAGCAGAAAAATTTTGGTTACAGTAACAATTTTGGCATAAGATTTCGTACTACAGTATTTACCAAACGTAAAGCCTTACAGCCGTAAAGAATACATATAAAACCTAACTTCCTAAGTAGACTGAGGTTGCATTACATCATTCATAGTAAGAAAAAGTTATACTAAATGTGTGGTTATACGTTTTGGAAATTGTAGCAATGTTTGCTTTAGTTTTAGAGGAATAGAAGAAAAGTTAGGATTTAATATAAGTAGGTTTGATTTCATTTTAGACAAACAGTCATGAATTTTATTTTTAATGTGACCATAACACAATGTTTTTTTAATTTTTGACTTGTGATACCTCAGTTGTCATTCTACTAACTTTTCTGATTTAAAAGAACAGTTAATTATTTTTTCACAATCCTTCATGGGGAAAATAATCAACTGAAATTAATTCAAAATGAAGACAAAAGAAAATTGAAAAAACCTTCGAGTGAAAATACTTTTGTAAGAACTAATATAATTGGTTCGATTGTTAACTCCCGACAAATTTCTTCAAATTCATATGAATCAGTACAACTAAATTGATTAAGGTGTTTTGATTTAAACTCAGCCTTATAGTTTCAGAAATTCTTAGGAGTACACCTCAACCTTACTAAGATTAAAAGCAAGGTTTGCAATTGATAATTATTTTTTCCATAAATGTAATAATTATTATATTTGATTGATTTTTAATTTAAAAATCAGGCCTGATTAATATATATAAATTTAAATTGATCTTTAATGTATATTGATTTGATTAATGATCACTCACTGAATGATATGGTTTTACATAAATAATAATACAATGTTTTTGTGATCAGAAAATACAAATCAACTTTCAAACACAAATTAAATTAAATATTAATATGTATGTTTACATTATTAATTTACACATTTTTAATATTATATTTCTGAAATAACTTTAATTGTGCACATGGTCCCTGCACAACATTTTATATATATATATATATATATATATGTGTGTGTGTGTATATTGTAATATCTCTTTATTTTAACTAATAATATAGCCTCAGAAGCTCACTTCATACTGTTGGGATACTTCCAAAATAAATAAGAGGTTGTTAAATAATAAACAAAATTATAAGAATATTGATATATTAAACTGAACTTTATAATTATTTTATCTCAAGGTATGAGTTACTGACACTCAGATCAAAAGACTCAGATAGACTAATATTTACTACACTAAACACTGTTTGATTTTAAAACGAAGTCAAGTATGGATTGGCAAGCTAACCTTTTTTCTATATATACTGTTTCCTCCTTTACGGCACTGAATTTATTTGTCTTTAAACACTTTTCAATGTTCTGCTAAACACAACTTCCAAAATGGTAATACTTTCATCAACTCAACTCAACCTCCCTGGGACATACACCCTCTTGTAACACCAAACAAGTGTCCCTAACAAAACAAAAATTCTTTGTCGCTCTCCTTTTTGAGGAAACTACAGAGCAGCCATTTTCTTTTCCCTGAACTAGTGAAACTAGTTTTCAAATTTAAACATCCTGGCATTAGCAGAAATTGATTAGCTTGACTTTAAACTGTTCAACATTTATTTACTAAATCATTTTTACCAACTTCCCATAAAGGTGTATATTATATTTCTCACCATTTCCGGATTAAAAAAAAATTAAGTAAAATAATTTTTTGTTTTAAATTAAATTTAGGCGAATACTGAAACATTTGCACATTACTCACTCAATACAAACAAATTTTTTTTAAAGATTACATCTGAGTTACATCTTAACTAGTTTTTAGTTCCTAACTAATCCAAATCATAACTATTTATGTATCATAACCAACAACCTAATTATACTATTTACAAGTTATCCAGATCGGGTAACCTAAGATGGTTTCATCAAGACCTTTTAGCTCGTTTACGAAAGGGATGCTAAGTTAAAAAATCCTTTTTTATCCTCTGGAATAAGATAAAGATTACCATGTCTCACTATAACATAATAAGCGGCCTGCCCCCTACCATGATCCAGGATAACGGGTAATCCACCACAGTCAAAATTATACTTAGTGAGTCCTTGGAACGATTCTTCATATCATTTTGTTTTTTCCTTACTCTAGTCACAGAACTTTCCTAACTCATCTTTGAATCGTAGAGTTGTCTTTCCTGGAATTAAAAGAATTTCTGGACGAAAATAATGACCATCTTTTCTCTGCTGGATTTTACTCCTTTGAACTCGATTTGAAACTTGAGAAGTTTTTTCTTGGTATCTATAAGATTAACTTTATGAGATTCTACTGAGACTTCTGCTGTCACTAATTTTTCTTCAAGCATTTCTTTCTCCTTTCTTAAGATATTTTCCGATCCATTATCAATCGGAGAATTGATTGTGCTCAGCTCTTCAGTAACAGATTGCTTCTCATCACTTCCTAAGTGACCAAAGGAAGTTTTCCCCCCCAGGCACTAGCGGATCCAGGATTTAATTTTTTTGGGGGGGGGGCTTCAGCCCGAAAGTTTTTTTTTCATAAAAATAATGATAATTACTTAGGTAACTGCCTGTATGGAATGGTGTTTAAGTGATTCCTAAAGCCCTTTAAAGTGTAATTACACGAACAATAATACTTTAAGTGATACTTTTTAAATATTTTTTTCGATAAAACATGGTTATATTTTGGCATTTTGGGGGGCGGGGGGGAGGGGGCTTCAGCCCGAAAGCCTCCCTCCCCCGCAGATCCGCCCGTGCTCCCAGGATAGTTTCTTGAACTTCAATTATATTTTAAATAATTTGGGTTCCTAGGTTATCACAATCTTGTTTCAAAATTTTCTGTTATTATTGGATTCTAATTTATGAAGCATGGCCATTAATTGTTGAAACATATTATTAGTATCAGTAAAATTCAAATTTTTTCTACTACTTATATTTAATTTTTCCCCCTCCACATTATTTTCACTAAACTCATGAACTACATTTAATCCTGATAGACTTTAACTTCCCGCACAACTACTGTTAGAATTTTCGGATCATCTATTTTCATCAAGTAGGCTTTGTATAACTGATTCTTCCTAATTTTCTACAATAACAACATCCTCGTTTGATTTCCCAAGGATTCTATTATTAAGGTCTCTCTCTCTACCTTCCATCATCTCTCTCTCTCTCTCTCTGGTTATTCTTCATATTACTCAAAAATCATTAATAAAACAGTATACAATTAAAGCAAATTGTTTATGTGAGTTGTGATCTGATTGTTGTGACCTATTTTTTAAAGAATAAGGTCACACATAGTTGAGCACCAAAATGTAATATCTCTTTATTTTAACTAGTAATATAACCTTTTAATATATATATATATATATATATATATTGTTTTTTGTAAACTAAAATGTCTAATGGATTTCGGAAATAAAGATGTTCTTTTGCTAATAGTTGACAACATTCTCCACCTACACAACTCCAGGCTCAAAATATATCAGAAGTATTACAAAAAAATTATGTTAAAAAATAATTAGATTATGATTTTTATCATTTATGATCAAAAATAAAAATTGTTCTTAATAAAAATTATGGTATGATTTTTAAAAATTCCAGATGAAAATTTTGATCAGATTTGATTTTGATTTTTTTAATTATAGATTTCAAACCCTAATTAAAAGAAACATAAAAACACAATACAGATATTTATAAAAATAATGTCTTACCTTCATATGTATTAACTGCTTCTAAATTCATAACATGACGAATCACATTATACTCATCACTTATTCCATTGGCACCTAAAATATCACGACTAGCCCTAGCAATATCCAGAGCTTTACCACAGGAATTCCGTTTCAGCATTGAAACCATTTGTGAATTCAATCTTAAAAACAAGAATAATAGTAAAAATCAACAAAATATCTCAATACAAAAACAGCTATATATATGAGTAACCTAATGAAAGGTGGAAATTGTTTTAAAAAACAAAGTAGTAACTAACTAATTGAATTATTACCAAATAATGAAATTTTATTTATAAAATTAAATTGTCAGAAAACAGGTATTAGTTAGAAATAGAAAATAAACTTTACTCTGGGATGATGTCCCCTTAGAATAACAGTTACAAAAGAAAAAATACATATAGTTATAGTAGTATTGACGGGTATTTCTGAGGAAAATGGGTATTTTCAAGTTAATTGCTGGATCATTTCATCTTTGGTGATTTGCAGCGCTGCTTAAAATTTGTAAACAGTTAGTCTAAGACTCTGATGGGATAAAAGTTCTGAGCTCATTTGAGATTTTGCTATCCTTCCTACGCCTTGATTTAACATTGAAAGTTGTCAATTTAGAAGGGAAGATGAAGACTTCTGAATTTCAATATCTGCTGAAAAACCTTCTTTTTATACACGTATGTAGATAATCACTTACACAAAAATAATTTTTTTTTTAAATTCTGGTACTCCACATCTTAAAACATTATGCACCACCAACTAAGGTGAAAATGTAGGAAAAACTATTTTGCTGCACTCTATGGTGGAAAAACTTTAAAAATACGAAAATATGCAATACAAAATTAAGAAAATGAAAAATATACATTATTTATGTTTTGATTTGTTAATTCATTCAGCATATGATTAAAATAATAGTATTTTTAAAGTTCCTTTTTAATATTAAAATATATCCATAGCATTGTCCCACAAACAATATATTATAACTTATAATTAAAAGAAAAAGCTTTTACTCACAAATTTTTGTCTTTTAGTCGTGACACATGAAGACAAGATATTAAAGCAAGTGAAATCTCAGTAAGCATATCAGCTAGTTTCTTCTGAATTAACTGGTTTGCCGCAAGAGGTTTTTTAAATTGTGGTCGATCCATTGCATATCTTCTTGCAGTTTCAAAACAAAACTCTGCTGCTCCAATAGCTCCCCAAGCAATACCTAACCTTGCAGATGTGAGGCAACTAAATGGAGCCTATACAAAAACAGTGAATAAGATGTAAATTATTTGATTTTATTATTACCATAGTCATTTCATAACAATAATAATAATTGTATATAAAAATAGGTAAGTGAAAGTAAAAATACAAAAATAGACTTATGTTTTTGGTATACCGTTTAACTAAGAGCCAAGCTATTACAGCTAATCTAGAAAACATGAAAGGAGGAAACAATACCAGAGGCTTGGAACACAGCCCTAATTTGCTATATCCTGAAGATGGACTCAATCCATGAGTGTGGTGACTATAATGGCATAACACTGCTTTCGGTTCCCAATAAGATGAAGATAATATCCTGCTAAGCCCGGTTATATCTGTATTACAAAAATATTGACAAAACCACTGAGCAGCATTCAGAACAGGAAGGTAGCATGCTGCTAGACCAGATCTTTATCTAAAATAGATGCTAAAAAAATGATGTGAAGTAGCTCAGCTTATTTGTTGATTTAAAATCACCTTATAATTCTTTGCAAACTGTCTTTGGAAGATAATGACTAAGCCATAACCCCCCAGGGGTTCACAGAAAATTGGTGAGATTGATACAGGTGTGTATAAATAATCCTAAATGTCAAGTCATGACACAAAGAGAGGTATTTGAAGCCTTCAAAGTTTAAACTGGTTAGTGGAGATGGATTTTTGGCACTACTGTTTAACTGAGTAGTAGGAGGTGATAAGATAAGAACATACAAGTGAAAATGGAGGGGTGCATGTCAGATCAATCATAAAATCTTAAGGTATGCAGATGAAATACCAGTTCTTGGAAGCAATAAAGAGGAGATTGAGAGACTCACTAAGACTCTGATCTCTACACCAAAAGGTAGAAGAGATTATTGAATAAGAAGAAAAAGCTAAGACTCTGAAAAGATAATAGAGCTAATCAACCAACAAATAAATGAAGATAAAATAAAATATAGCTAGATAGAAATTTATTTGTTTTTTTTTTTTTGGGGGGGGGTCCCCATACAAATAGAGCCTAGCTTGGCTATTGTAGAATAATATGGTTTTACAAGTTATATACATATTTAAAAATAAATAAAATTTACAATATTTTACGTTTAGAATGTGTTTTACCAAACATGAATAACAATAGAAATTAAAAACAAAAAACGATTACTGCATAATAATAGTTATATGAACCTGTTACTATGGTAGAAATAATAAAAAATAAAAATATTTATATATATAAACAAAATATTACTTATAAGATAGACTAAAAACAAAAACTTCATAGAACATAGGCTATGACCAACAATTTTGTGTACTCCCATCATATAATAGTAAACTTTATTTAACTTATCTATACAATCAATATTCAATATGGTTTCAATGTTGTGGTTATCAGAAGATTCTGAGATGAAGTTTTGAAGGAATGTTTGTCTATAATTATTGTATGCTGGGCAGTGAAGGAGAATGTGATGTAGACTATTATAGATAAATTGACTGCATGATTACAAGTTTTTTGAGACTCAAAAAAAAAGTTCTGTTTTTTGCATATGTTCTGGGTTTGCAACTCTTAATTGACTGACACATCTCAATTTTTTTTATGGATTTTGAATGTAAGGTACGATTAGGGATCGGAAGCATTGTAACTGCATAGTATCCTGTATAATGGGTAGGTAGTTGAGTTTAGAGCTCTTAGTATGTCTACTGAGAAATAATGGTTGTGTGCTTTTTCCGGGATGTCATATTTGTATCGAAGAAGTCTGTGTGGTGAACAGAAAACTTCTGCAAAGGCATTAAGCTCGGCTATTGCTCTAAATTGAGACACCCAATTGAAGTGTATGTCAGGCTTATCCTTGTCTAATGATTTAAGTATATTAAAACAGAGTTTTGGGAGTCGCTCTTCTGGCATGAACCCAGGCTTGGTCCACAGACTTGTCATCTTTTTTGTCACTTTCATGCTTAATGGTTTTCTTCCTGTTTCGAGGCGAACTATATAGTTTGGGGTATTCCTGAGCCAACCAAACAGTTGCTTTAAAAATTTAAGTTGTACCGTTTCGATTGCCTCAAGATAATTGGGGCTCCATACTTCAGAAGCATAAAGCAATATTCATGAAACCATGGAGTCAAATAACACATTTCTAGTTTCCCAGGAGTCACTTTTCCCTTTTTTTAGTATGTCTATGACTCTCGCAGATGCTACTGATGACGTCCATCAGCTGGAAGGAGCATTGTTACCTCGTGTAAGGTATCTATGCTTTTGTATTTAACTATGTCAGAGATAAATAAGAAAAATTATGTTGGGCTCAGACTTTCGCCTTGTAAAAGTCCTAAGGTAATATCAATATCATCCAAAAGTTGTCCATTAACTGAAATTTGGATTGAGGTATTATTATACAGCATTTTAATAATTTTGTTGATTTTTCCTTCAACTCCTAAGGTTATAAGCTTCCTCCATAAAAGTCCGTGATTAATTTAGTCAAAAGCTTTTTTGAGATCGATGAAAGTGGCATATAGATATCTTCCTTCAGTTTTGAACGTTATTCCGATTAGTGCTGAAATGGTGAAGATATGATCAATGCAGCCTCTTCTTTCTGAATCCTGCTTGCTCTTCGGGTATTAGATTCTGAGAGACCGCCCATAGCATTATTCTCCTTGCAATGATGCTGGTAAATAATTTAGCCATCATGTTCAGTAAGAATATACCTCTATAATTATCAGTATCGCTTCTATTACCTTTTTTAAAAAGTAAGAAAAGTTTGGATTTAGACCTCTGGGTAGATAATTTTGGTAAGCATACATGTGGTTTCATGGAAGTAGCACAAGCTAAATGGTCCAGAAAATCAGACATGGCTATAACTTCCATATCACCTAAAATCTCGAGTGCCATATCGTTGATCCACACCAGATCAATAATGCTTTTACCAACGTTAGACATAAATGTAAACTTTCTGGGTCTGACAGAGAGGGTCCTGTCGTTACATAGTGTGAGACCTAATGATTCAATCGCTTCCACTAATTGTTTTCTTCATCTGTTAACATGTTTATGGCTGTTTGTCCTTAGAGCATATAGATTTGAGTTGTACAACATTTCTTCATCCAAGCAATTCAGGTCACCTACATGACTGTTAAAATCACCATTGATAAACAAGCAAGTGTCTGAATAATTGAGTAGTAATTCCGTAATAGTATTAGATAGATCTTCCAGTATTGTATCCATAACACATATAGGGGGCAAGTAAATGTTTCCAATTGTTAATAATTTGTCATTGATTTTAATATTGACAAAAAGCCAGTATCGGTTGACATATACAATACTTGTTCCTGCAGTAATTGAGCTATGAACTAGGGTTAGCAAACCACCGCTGCCACGCCCTATTGTGTTTACTTTGAAAGCTTTACTGCTAAAATGTGTATAATCATGCAACCATGGAGGTATAGAGAAATTATCATCAATCACCCAAGTCTCCACGAAACACAATAAGAGATATTGCCTTATAGTATCACATTCTTCTAGTGTAAATTTAAATAAATTTTTTAAGCTGTTTATATTGCAAAACAAAATATGATGACCATATTGTTGTACATTATTGGGGTAGATAGTTTTACAGGGTCCTTTCAGTGAATTGTTAACAGGTATTAGGGCGGAGGAGATGCGACTCCTGGACACTAACCAGCACACTAGAAAGAAGTATTGATATATTTGAGAGAAAAATCCTCTGCATAATAACTTGAGTGAAAACTAATGCATGGAGGAGAAAGAATTGGCAACAGACCATTTAGGAGGTCAAAAACCAGATAGATAAATAGAATCAATAAACATGCTGAAGAATTCCATGCATCAAACTGAAAAGCAATAGCTCAAGATAGGCATAGATGGAGTAAGCTGGTTCACGCAACCAAAAATCTAGGTCTGTAAAGCCTAAAGAAATTTGCAATAAATATATTAACAATACCTGCATTGTCATGTGCCTTAAGTATGTTAATTACCTCAGAAGTACAGTCCTAGGATGATCGAAGTCTGAGCTATTCTTTAGCTCTTTCCAGGGGTTGGGATTGATGCCATGTTTATGTAGTGCTGAAACCAAAGCCAGTTTCAATAATTTCGAATTTGGTAACCTTTTTTTTTTGGTACCAGAAATAATAAAATTTGTTTCATGGAGTTTTACCATACCCATCCTAACAAATATCTGGCTAATGCTAGGGTTTGGTAATTTAAAACAGTATGGGGATAGAGGTACAACGATTCTACTGTCATGGTAAGAAGTAAGAAAGATAAAAGATGCAAATGAGAATAAAATAAAATTTGGCATCATAAGAAATAAAATAAAAGCAGTTGCTATAAGTAAATATGAAAATAGCAAAAAGAAGTAAACAGAGAGGGATAAAAAAGAAAGAAAGAAAAAGTGGGGTTTAGTTAAGGCATTTGTATGTTGAATGAGAATACATTAACATTAAAGAGATTTTTTTTCTTAAACAGTTGCTGTAATCATCCTAGAACAGTAAGAAGTCCTTCAGATTTCTGTTTTATTTATGATAAAAACATTTTCTTGTTACCCAGATCAGAAATAAAATAAAATTGTAAAAGAGTTATAGTTTTATTAATCAAAGGCCAATGATATAAAAAGCATACCAGATATAAGAGTTCTGGTGAATATTAAATATATACAGGTATTGTTCAGTTTCATTGGTGGATATTTGTTTTAAGACAAACTGAATTCTCTCAACAAGAATCCAATAAACAAGCGGTCTTCGGTGATCTCATATATTTGCATTAGGATAGCTGCCCCCCATATCAAACTTTAATGAATGTCAGCAAAATTATAAACTTGACATTGCAGTGAATACCTCCCGTAAAATGCACACTAGTGTTACAGTCCTCACACTTAGCATAAATAAGCGAATGAATTTCATTTCTATAGAACATATTATGACATCAACTTGAAACTAATACATCTTATTTATTTTTATTTGCTACTTATTTATCTAATTTATTTATATTACTTTACATTGCATTTTGTTTCTTTGTTATTTC